ACAAAAATTTAACTGTTTCCTTATATTATATTTAAAATTTAAAATACTTAACAATAAAAACAAATTTGAATAGTTTATAAGTATAATTACTTCTTCACAATTTTTCATGCTGTTTTTGAGTAATACAATGTATAAATATATATGTTGGAAATAAATATCTAGCTTATTTCTATTTTAGTGCAGTAATATTGTAGTATGTACAGTATTCAATATTCAATAAATTTAGATAGTACTGATGTAACTCCATCCAGCTAGTTTACAATAATTCTTCACAGTAAAAATAAACAATGTTACGAATAATAATATGTTCTAAACCAAACACTTTTTGTTGTAAAATTGTAGGAGAGAATAAAATGGCCTTCAACATAAAAATATCTTTTAATTAAATTTCTACTATAGTTAAATTTTGGATAAGAAGATGAATTCACCTATTTTCAAATTCAAATTTTTGCTTATACACAATAGTCATTAGTTCATTGTTCATTATTTTATAATATTGTAGCTTTTTAAACATATTAAAAAGTTATATATTAATTTATTTTAAAAACTATATAGTTTTTTGATATCATTGCTCAATAGAAACATTTAGTTAATAAAATAATTAGATTATTAAGTTTTATGGCTATTTTTTCCTACTTAAAAATATTTATAATACTTCTGCATATATTTATATAGAATATCCTGAAGATTCATGGCTTCGAAGATTATTATTATTCCAAGAAGTTATACTTTACAGATTTGGGTTTGTAATATGTAATTCAAAAACTGATGGAAATGAATCATATCATAATCAATATATTCATCTTACAGGTTAGTAAATAATATATTTAACTAGTCTAAAATGCTATACAGTGTTGCCTTCAATAATTAATTTAATAAATGTAATCAATAAATAAATACTTTTTAATTTATTCACAGGCAATGTGTTTGTGTTAATACTTTCTGATTTGATTGAAGAAACTAAAGAGAAAAATGATTCTCCCGATCAAGGGTTAAATGAATTAGAAGCTAGTGGTAATCAGCAAGAATTACAATTTAGCCCTCACATGGAGTATATATCACGGCATGTGTACCATAGTAAAGAAAATGATCCAAAAATAGAAAAAAGGGTTAGTTAAAAGTAACACTTTTTTAAATATTACTTATAATTAAAGCATACATCTTAAGGTAAATAATCATAGTTACTCAGAAACTATAAATTTAGGTTGTATAAATGAACTATTTATGAAACATAATATATTGTATATAATTATCTATTAAAATTATGTTAGTTAAAAAATATAAAAAGAGAAATAAAAAATTAATTGCTTCATGAATAGTGTCGTAATTTTTAAATTATAACTATTATATCAAAGATTATTATAGACACTTCGAACTAAGTAATTGCAAAACCAAAACTGTAAAATACAGGAAATGTGTTTTGTTTTTCAAAATAGCCTGATATTACTAGCAGTTTTTGATTCAGTGCTACTGAACTACAACATTATATATAACAATATAACATTATACCTCTTTGTAGTGTTAGAATTTAATAATATTGATTCTTTATTTAGGTTGGTTTTCTTTGGGCATGGAATCATATGGTAAGTCGTAGATGGAAATCGTCAAATCCAGCAACTGGTGATGAACAGTTTCAAAATAAACTATTGGAAGATTTTAGATATTTTTGTAGTAATAAAGATGAACGGTTATCAAACTTTTGGAAATCTTGTAAAGACGAACATTATGCAATTAAACACCAAGAATAAATTTAATATTGCATGTTTCATGTGTTTCATTTATAATATTTTACCTAATTTTTTTCCTGTTTTAAGTTCCAACTATAAATCAGTATTTTTTAAATTTTTGCTAAACCATAAACTATATTTATTAAGCAAATATATTTGTATTTTAGGTTCTGGGCAGAGCTATGTATGTATTAATTTTACAATAATGTGTGTTTTATTTTTTATACTTATGTCTAGGGCCCGGAAGTTCATGCATTTGCATGTTTTTACTGAATGGACTAAAAAATTGCTAGATCAGCTACAAATTTGAATTATACTTGTACAAATCCAAATACAACATTTTATTTTGCATATAATTGCATATTTTGGGGTTTTTTTTTATATATTTGCATATTTTACAATTGTTTTGTTATTAACTGCATATTTGAGTTAAATATTATGTAATTGACAAAGTAAATTACCTACTTCTAAAAGACCTATTATAACCCCACGACCGTGGCGGCCCGATAACGGCTAATGGACCATATATTTATTTTTAGAAAAGTTTTAATATTTTTCATCACGATAACGATACTTTCGTTAAATTTAAACAAGTTATTGAAAAGAATCTGGGCTTTAAAACACTATCCAACATTTCAAAAATTATGATGGCAGAAAAAATGACAATGGATAATTTACCTGAAGATTTTTCTTGTGATAGTTTACTATATTTTAAATACGCACTAATTTCTTCGGTTAATGTAGAGCGGAGCTTTTCGGTGTACAAAAATATGTAGGCAAATAACAGGCGGTCGTTCAAATTTGAGAATTTATCAAAATCGTTGTTTGTGAATTGTAATGTTTAAAAATACATATTAATTAATAAAATAATGTTTTTAATTATTAGTTAAAGAAATTGAAATAAAAATCGTGTGTACTATCCCATAAATTCATAACTAATAATTTTTTCCCCTCATATTTATAAATTAAAAAAAAAAATAAGGGCATATTGACGCTGCAACACGAAAATTTTATTTTCTTCGCTTAGAACTGTTATGATTTTTTTATCACTGAATTTAAATTATTTTAATTTCAAATTTAACACATCCATTGTTTTTTCAAAAACTTGTACTCGCTTTATATTTTTTACTCATTTTTTTGCCTTTTCGTTTTCGGCCTTTTTTCATCGCCCTTATTGTCTAAATTGCTTAATTTATTCTTTTAAAACCTGTGGATATGTGGATGTGCTGTTCGTACGCTTAATAGCGTTAATAGCTTAATAGTGTTCAAAAACCGATCGTCTTCGTAGAGAGAAGCCGTTCGTTACTACATGGATTAAATAAACAGTTTTTCAAAATTAATATTGAACATATTGCTTTGTCCTTGGTGGTCAAACCTTTTGGTGGTTAAATATTAAATTAAACACAATAATATAATGTATGTACCCAAGGCCGTAGCCAGAAAAATATTTAGGGGGGGGGGTTATAGTATAAATATGTTATATTATATAATAAAACATGCAAGTATAAAAATATTATTTAAATTAAATTAGTCTTTATGAAAAAAATAAATAAATCTTATTTCAAAAAAAAAATTCGGGGGGTTTGAACCCTACCCCTCCCCGTCTATGGCCTTGTATGTACCTATTTAGAACAAAACCGTTCTTCAACGGTGTTCTGAACGTCAGTATGCGCTGCTACTATGAGTAGCCTATATTGGTGGTTAAATACCTAAATAAAAGCATAAATTCTGCAACTGTGTAATGTGATATAGTTACGGTCTTACGGAACAATTCATCGACGGCGTTATGAATATTATTTATTTAATAGAGTATGCAAATTGTATAAGCATTATAAGAATTAAATTAAATTATTAAGCAATTTCAATGATGTAGGTACACGGCTATTGTTTTTTACATAGGTAGACTGCCTATTACGAGTATAATATACATATAACAAATAAAACCAATGTTTGTTGCTTGATGAAAACTCATTTCTGTGGTTTGATTTAAATACATTTTCTCAAACTTACACAGTAGGTAATAATAAATAAAAGACAATATATTAAACTGACCATTAATGTTATGATATAATATTGGATTTTATAGTATAATATATAGGTACCCTACATAGGTATTTTAATGAGTAACGTTCAATTGTATATTGCTAATATATTTATGTACCTATATCTTAATTATATTATAGCTACATAGGTATATGCAATATGCATAATGTATATTGTAAAAACATTTAAATTTTTTACAACAACAGAAATGTCAGTGCACATTCGCATTCAATAACATGATATTATTGACATCTCTTTTGTTAACTATATGCAATAATAATAATGGTCAGATCATACGAATTCAATCGGTTAAATAATATTTAATACATTTTTTTTTGTCGCTGAGTTCAAACTGTTTAAATGCTCGAATTTTCGCAAAGGAATTCATCTGAAAAAGTTGTCCCTTAGGTGTAGGCGTAATAAGGCGTGTAACGTAGTGCAGCAGGCGAGAACGAAATCGGCGGCCGCCGGTAGCCTATGATTAAGCACAACAGCTCGGTTTCTTTTTGAATTTTTTACGTAATTTTTCAAAATTCTAATGATTATGTTTTTGCTATCTTCATTATTACCGTAAACATAATCGTTGCGATGTTTACATTATGAAATTGATACGAAAATGTGTGTGTTGCTCGCTGTTCGTATGATTAAGAGATCTTTGGTTTATCATGCCAAATACAATTATATGTCTTCTTTACTTTCTATACCCACACAATATAAATAAACTACAAAGGTACTTAGTTAAGTTTCACTTGAGGTGACTGATTTTCTAGACGTTCGGACACGGGTTTTGAATTTACATTTTTTTTACATAAGTACGAAAAAGCATCGGGCGCACGACGGGGAACCGTATTATTCAATTTTTCGATTTTCAAGGGCGATGTGAGATTTCTAGACACTAAAACTGGATTTCAAACATTTCCGCTTTCGAAACGACTCAGCCAAGCCTTATAAAAAATCCTTTTCACTCACTCAATTTTTTGTTTTTTAACCACCCATCACAACAGGAACGACTTTTTTAAGTAATTTCAACGACATTGTCTTCTCCTGCCGTCACCACCCACTCACACTGAGTCTCACAAGCCCCCGAATTTCACAACAACGAGTTTCTGATGGCGGCTAGTATTGTATAAAATAGGATAGTGTTTAACAAAGTAAATAAGTAATTGTCTGTTATAGAAGAAATACATCAATTATATTTTTTATCTTATGGATATATTATTATGAGACTTGAATTGTTAAAATGAACTTCATGAGTGATGCGTCTAATGTCTATATCTGTAATAAAATATGTATAATAAAGTAATTGTCTGTACAACGGACAACGGTCATCGAACTACATAGTAGTTTGTGGTCTGTACTATAGTTACTATGATATAATAAAGTATAACATATAATATAATCATATAAACGCATTACAACTTAAATGTAAAAAAACAACTTAGTTTATAAATACAAATTAATAATACTAATTCAAAGTTGATTTATGAAATCGTTATGGTCGTTTTAATCCTCCGTCAATTAGATCTTATTGCGTCAGTTGGTCACCGACGTCGCCACGTCGTTTGTTGAAGTTTTTCCTGATAACGATTTTTGTTTACTCTTCTCTGAAGATAACAGTGTGCCCTTCTCTACAACGATTGTGGCACTCCATCTTACAATTTCTTGATGTTTTATGCACATACCATGTTAGTCCGAGTTGTTAAGTTTAATAAAAATCTGAAAATCGTGTGTTCGGTATTGCGTCAAGCCCACTGTTGTCGGGCAGCTATCGGTGGCGACCACAATGTAGCCGTCTTCCAGACTGAAAGTTCCAGTGCCCGAAATTGTTTGCAGCACACAATTTAACATATGTATTGAAAAACTGAACGATATGATATCGTTTTGACCACATATTTGAGTTCATGATGGATTACATTATTGCTTTACAATGTATCTGAAAAATTGAACTTATTTGCCGGTTCGAGACTTCAAAATCTGATCTTTTAATTGGACGGCCTGCATGCCAAATGATCTTTTGCTGATCTTTTAGTACTGCATTCAGGTTCACCAACTATAGAGTTCATTCTAGAAATGGGTGATACCTGTTATGTGAACAGCAATTGACTGTATTGTTATCCGCCATTGTAGGATATACCTGAGTTATGACCATGTACCAACCAATAAAAGGTAAAGATGTGTTCAGTTAGTTCATAAAAAACTAAAAACTGTTCTTAAGACTATTCTGAGTTATTATTTGATAACATACATCAATCAAATATAAAAGAAACTAACCGCAATAACACATAAAAACCTTTACCATTATAGTTTATAATTTATTCGTTACAACATAATGTTAAATTAGCATAAATATATTCTAACACATAATATAAATGTATGTCCTCTTTCTCTGTATCAATGTAGCAAGTCATTTGTAGCATGAACTTTTTTTGACTTAAGTGAAGATCCAGGATACCCCCCATCACCCCCAAAAAGTAGCCTCTGAATGAAAGTGTGTAAAGGCAAAACTACTTGAACTAATGTTATGTTAGTGATTCACATACAGCTTAGATTATGAAAACAAATTGATGTAATGCATAATACATATTATGAGTTCTCATTATTAAAAGTATTATTTTATTTATAATCAATGCCATCTTCCAATATGCGGTCTACCAAAATGGACTACCGTAATAATATTAAAAGTAAAAATAAAAATAAATAAAAGTATTATACTATGATTTTACAAAAAAAAAAAAACATTTTCAGTGATTCTACATGCAATATATGATATCAAAAAAAAGTAGTATAATTAATATTGATATTACGGATTATTCACAAAGCATAATCTTAAATCTTTAATGAAAGCATCAAAAATATTATCAGTTTTGTTTGATCCTCATTTAGCACAATATCATAAGCTAAGATAAATTTTAATTTTTAGTAAATAATTACTTAATAAATATTAATTAGATATTTTAAAATAATGATAAATTAAAATTTGAAGAATATATTTAGTAGATATGTACTACATATATATTAATAAAATAAAGTAAGCAAGTTAGGTAGGTTTTAATTAAAATACAATTATAAATTCCAAAATTCGGGTAAAGTTTTTGTATGTTTTCTTTCTTTATTTAACGCTATTTCCTTTTTCACTTTCTTCTATTACTTTCATTTCATCATTTAAACTTAAACAAATCTTTGAAGACATTATGAGAATTGAGAACAAATATAACGATACGAAAGACAGGTAAACTGCGACTATGGTGACAATAATAAGTACTGATGTGTAGATTCAAGGTAAAATGTACTTATCTGTGGATACATATTAATCGCTGACCTTAATAATTGTTTAGTAGTAAAATAAATGTGGGTATCAAAAATATTTTTGTTCATTTTATGATGTGTTTTTCCGTGTATGTGAGGTGTATATGAGGTGTATATGATTTGCGGGACTAATAAATAGCTTTCCGTTTTTCGTTAGACAGGTTCCGTTTTATCAAGGACTTAATCCTATGTTAAATTATAGAAATCTGATGGACCATAATAAATTTCTGCACAGAAAAAGATTCCGTCTTATCAAGGGTTCGGATAAGACAGGTTTCACTGTATATTTAATGTAACTAAGGATAAGATCTATCTTTGAGTACTCATATCTTCGTGTGATATAAAAACAAGTATTTTTATATAATATATTATGTTTAATCTTAAGCATACAATTTCATATTTTAAATAAAAACTTATAAGTAGTATTGTTCGCTCAGAGCCTCCTCTACTGTTATCTAGAAAAAAAAATAATATGTCTAATAGTAACAAAAAAAAGGTTTTTTGTACAATAAATCTCCAAAATAGTTAAAGTACCATCTTTATTAATTTTTTCATCAACATATTAATATATCACTATAAAAATCAATTACATCGATAGGAACATAAAAAATGTTATTAATTTATATATATATAATTTTTGTTTTGATGATTTATACTTACCCAGAATAGATAATGTATTTTTAAATTCTATCTTGAAATTTTTTAATACTTTGATATTACTATAGTAAGTACTTGTATAATATGAATATTGACATATTCTTCTGTATATTTTGTTAATAAGCCTACGGTTTTTAAAATTTGTCTTCATCTAATAACCTTTTTTGGTTCATAATTTTAAATGTTTTTGATTTTATTATTAACTTGTATGCTTCCTTAATATTATAAACTTCAAAATCTAATCATAAACAAACACTTATTAAAAATCATTAAAAATAGTATAATATTCAGATAAAGATACAATATTTTCTCTTTTTCTAATCTTCCAAATACTGTATCAGGAAGCTTTTAACATATTTTAAAAGAGTTGCCATAATATACTGAAATAAATGCATATCAATGCTATAAATATTATTTATAAATTTAGTATCATTATAAATGTAAATTATTCAAGTTTTTTTTTAAATTATTTTTTTTACTGATAAAGTAATTCTTATATTTAATCAGACTGACATTGATGTATTTTTTAAATTTTTTTCCAAAATTATACTTTAAAACTAATATTTTGTATATGTGTACAGTATATGCACTTGGTTAATTGTGTAATGTGTATTCATTACATTTAAAAATTTATTTGTTTTTAATTTAATTAAAACATTAATAGTAGACACTTAAGTTGTTTTAACCTAACAAAAAGTAATAATTAGAGATTGGTTAATAGATTTTCATGTAACTTCTTAAGTACACTGTTTTTATTAAATTTTTTATAAATAGATTTAAATAATAATAATTTAAATTGTCAGGATGATGTATATCATTGAGTTAATTTAATCATATTAAGTATAAAAAACTTGCATTTCAGAAAGCAACAATTTTACACATATTATGCTATGCTTATATTTTCAAGTAATTTTGTTAAATTTTTAAAATTCATAATTTTTACTTTGGGAGTTTTTTAAAATTATCTGTACTTATATTCTAAAGATATCACAATTAATATAATACCTTTTAAATGCTTCCATAATACAATATTGAATAAAAAAATGTTTTATACAATTTCATAATTTTCCAACCAATTGTTACTTTATTCTTTGTACAACTCTGTATACTGTAGTCAATTAAAGCAAAAATAATTAATGACTACCCATTATATTATTATATTATAAAATAATACAAAATAATATACTTATTATAAGCATTTATTTTAAAAATGTTTTTACATTGGCAGGGTACTCCAATGTGTTATGAATCAATTTTCCTACTTTTGTAGTCTTAACTATCTTTATATATATTGTATTGTACCTAAATTATAACTGGCTACAAAATGCACTTGTTATTTTTTATGATGACTTTACCTATTGTTTTTTTGTTTTTACAGAGTCCATTCAGTTGGTGACAACACCTACAAATCGTCCTAAATCAGTGTTAATAAACAGTAAGAATACCAAATTAGAAGAATTTATAATGAATATTCACAATATGTCACCATTCAGATTAATTTTTTTTATGATCTCAATTTCATTTGGTTTTGCTGTCATTATTGGTATTTTATTTATAGTACCATGCGAATGGTCTGACTGTATTTCTTCAAAAAATATTAAATTGATTTGGTCTGATTCTATTTTCATTGACATAGGTATTTTTTATATCCTGAATATAATTCTTGTTTAATTTTATTTCATGTACCTAATTATTATTGTCTAACTATTAACAGAGTTAAAAGGCAAGCCAAGTACGATTGAGTTAAACAAGAAACTTATACAGTTGTTATTTATAGTAAGAGGATCAATTCTTAACAGCCCAAATGTACCACCTAGAACAGAACGTTTACCATCTATTGGTGGTGGTCTTTTGCAAATTGACACAATTACTGGTAAAGAAATGTGGCGTAAACGATTAGATTCACTACCTGATACGATTGATTGTACATTGCTAAATAACCAGGTCAAAGAAAACAAAGAAGTATATTGTATAGTAGGTGCATCAAATAGAAATATATTAGCTGTTATATCCAGCAGTAAACTTAAAGGTACTACTTTATTTGGAATATAAATGTTCAAATTTTTTATTAGTATTAACACAGTATCATTTAATGTTATTTTATTATAAGTGTAAGAGTTGAAACTTGCAATTTTTTTGATCAATGTTTGTTTTAAAATTATGTTTAAAATAAATATTAATATTATTTTAGAATTCAGTTGTAAAGTACCTACATTCAAGTAGGTGCTTATTGTAAAACTTAAAGTTTGCATGAAAATGGTTTAGGAAACTAATATAATTCCATTACCTATTTTATACTGTATATAAGAAAAAAAAATAACTATAGATACCTTTGTGTATCTATAGGTATCCAAGATTTTAAATTATTTATATTACACAATAAAAAAAAAACACATTATTTTGTTCTATAGGTGAACTTGTATGGAAGAAAAATCGACCAGAATCAAACATAACTAAATTAAATAGCAAAAATGATTTAGTGTACATGGAATTTCCTGTCATTATACCCGACTGCAATTCTGATGGTGTAAATGAAATGGCTTTTGTGCACCATGAAAATAATATGCCTACATTAGATATTTTATCTGGAAAAAGTGGAAACAAATTAATGAGCAGTATTAGTAATGATAATTGCACTAAAATGACTGATCTTATTTTAAAATATGATATGTCTTTAGTCTATTTTTGCCGTAGGAATTCTGTTGTAGGTATGTACATTTAAATAGTGTAGTTTAAATATATTTCATAAACATTGTTTTTATACATTAATTTATTTTGATTTATACTCATAAATTTAGACCCTTTAGAAACAATTCCAATTAAAACTATGTTAAATTGTTCTGGTGATTGGATACCAGATTCTGTTCACCAAACCAAACGAGAACATGATGAAATTGAAGAAAATCAATATTTGTTGACACTTGAGCCTTATTATCTTAATATCAATAATAGCTACTACAATTGTCTAACCAACTGTATGGCAGTTGTGTTTGTCACAAATAGTGCTAAAGAAACAGTTTGGTTTCAAAAATTCGATCGTTCTTATGTAATGAAGCCAGTGACATTTGAACTCCGTAACAATATATCAGGATTTGTTATCAAAATTTGGTCTTGGAAAAATGAAACAGTTGAGGTAAGTTTTTTATTTATTTATAATGTTAATTATAACCAACTAACATTATTATATACTATTTACTGAATCTTACTAAATAAGCTAAAACATAAAGAAATTAAATAGGCACTTATGTAATAGAATGTCACATATTCAATATTTTAGATTGCTGAAAACACCATGTCATTATTAATTTCATAGTTTATATCTAGAAAGCCTAATAATAAATTATGCCTACTATGAATAATAGTATTTCAATTATGTAAAAAGGTCTTACTTTATGTGGAAATTATTATTTGATATTTTAATTAAAATTAAAAAATTAAATTTTGGTTGATAATATTGAGTATTTATTTGAAAATTTTTTTGCAAAGAAAATCAAAATTTATAAAATATCAGATCACTTAATAAATTTGAAAACCTTTGAAAAAAGTGCAGATAGACTTAATTTTATAAAACTAAAATCAGATCAATCTAAAAGAAGGCATTGTCAGGCTTTTAATTGGTTCAAAATAGTTTCTCGTTGAAAAAAATGTTTTAGTTTACTAAATAGATATACTAAAATAACATTTAAACCTAAAATTGTTTTTATTACATAACTAACTATGGATTGCTATCAGATCTCTTATAATTAAGGGATGTAGTCCAAAAATTATTTGCGAGTATGCTTAAAACCGTATGCTAAATATATGGCAGCTTTAGGGATGCTTTTGTCATCAACCCCTCCACCTTCTTTCAATTATATAAATTAATAACATTTAATTATTATTAAGTTAATTTGAAATTATAATAATTTTAACAATGTAATTAATATTATTATAAAGGATATTTATTTACCTAATATATAATACTTATAGTTATAAATTAAGGTTTTAGCTTATAGAATACTCCACAATTTTTGTTTCAAGCATTCTTTTTCATTTCAATTTATTTTTCTGGATTTATTGTCATCAGCTGTTTTATGGTTTAAAATCCAACTTTTAACATAGTCTTCACGGTTCCCTAAATTCAATGGTGGACCATTTATGTTGATCAGCATCAGGTTTGAAACATTGTGAATAGTTAATCTTGAGCCTAAGTCAGTGCAAATAATGTTCATCAACCTAAATCCACGTTTGCATTCCACTGTAGAACATGGAATCGTTTTCATCAAATTATTTATTTCATTTAGTTCTTCAATTTTATTAGTTTCTTCATCGATTAGTATTCTTAAACCTCTTATTGCTTTTTCTTGATTTATAAAGAATCTGCTACAAAGTTGTTTTACTTCCTCTTCACCAAAACAAATATTTACATCAGCAGTCCATGTTTTTTTAATCTAAAATTTGAATTTCTTGGATGATTATTTTATCTTCTTCAATGTTATCTAATAGTCTCATATTTAAATTATTCACAATACTTGTAATGAATTGGTTTTTATTGATACATACCAATTTCATATCATTACACAAAGGGATATCTTTAAACATCATTTGTTCTATGGCCTTGATTGCTTCAGCATAGTAATCACTAGAGGTCGGATTTTTATGATTTTACATATTTGTTTCTAGTTTATGCAGTTAAATGGGAGTGAGAAATCTTTACGAATCACGAAACACAGAATTCACAGGAAAAAATTTATTTTGCATAAAAAAGCATATTTTAGAGGTTAGAGAATATTTAACACGTTAGAGAATATTTGGGAATATTTTTGTGATACCCGGCATATAATGAACATATTTCACGCATATCAGCATTTGATAAATACAATGTTCACTAAATGATTTATTTCCGGATTTTAATAAAAATTAATCTCCAGGTATTCCTTATCGATTGCGAAAGCACAACGGTTATTTCGTTAGCTGTCACGACTATACATCGAACAATATATAGTAATTAATTGTTATTGTAAAATTAATTTAATTAAATATTTTTAAAACCAAATTAATAAAAAATTAATTTAAACTGTTTTTTTTTTTTTATATCAAAAGAATATTTTGCATATTTAAGGACATAAAACATCATATATCTGGTATTTTAAAGGAATATTAAGAGAATATATTGCTTATTTTATGTGACATACAAACATCATATTTTAAGGATTTTAAAAGAATATAAATCCGACCTTTAGTGATCACCATAGATAGTTTTTAAAAGGATCAATTACTCTAATAGCTCTTTTAATTTTTTTATCAGCTTGTATTAAAGTTGCATCATGACTCTGTGAATCTAAAAACAGTTGAGATAATTCAGACAACACATAAGTGCCAAGTCTGAAAGAAATTGTAATTTTTCCAACCATTTACAAAGATCTTTATACTTGGATCTAGTTTTTTGATCACAATACTTATCCTCAGAAGCTTCTTTAAGGTGTTTGTATTAAGCTTCCAAACTACTTTTTCTATAGCTGCTAGCAACCTAACAAACATCGAGTACTCTACCAATTTTTAAAAATATTTCATTTAAACTTACACAATGCAACTTTAATTCGTTTTGATTTTTAAGTGATCGGCAATACAAAGGATACAATGTATCAAGAAAATGTTTAAAATGATATGTAGCTGTAATATCATTTAACACAACATTAACTGCCAATTCTAACCTATGATTAATGCAATGCCAACTAAATATTATTGGAAATCTTTCTTTTAAATGTGTAGCAACCCCATAAGTTTTTCCTTTAAGAACAATGGCTCCATTGTGACTAATTATATTCAATGTTCTTTTAAAAAAATATCAGTAAATCCATGTTTATGTAAACATTCAAGCAGTTGGTCTATGATTGTTCGTAGATGTTTGACTTTTTAATTTAGTTAAATCCAAAAATTTAAAAACAGGTGAATCATATGATATGGAGGCTTTGAGATGAATAATCATACCATGTAATGAACTATTTGTTGTTGATTCATCTATTAATATAGAAATCTTTGAATTGGTTTCTATTATATTTTGAACAATTTTATTTCTCATTTTAGTAGCTATATGATCAATAATAGATATACTTGAATATCTTGAATATAATGTTTGACCCAATAAAACCCCATTCATTTGTTTTAGTTCAACAAGATTGAATGGTCGGTTATTTTTTGCAATAAAATACAATTTTTATTGTAGATTGATAATATTTAGATGTTGAAGTTTCAATTAATGTGCTTAATTTACTATGAGTTTTGTCTTTTTAAATATTTAAAGCAAAGTTGTGTGCTTTAGATCTATTGTATTTTGATATTTTATGTCTTAAAATACTTAAAGGAGTAACTAATTTAGAATTTGTACCACCATCGACCATTCAGATGAGATTTCAACACCTTGACTTGACTTTTACTTTTTTTTAATTCACCAACATTTTTATAATAGAAACATCCAATTTTACCATCATCACAAATGAAACAAGGATATCTAACTTTCTTCTGAATCCATTGATTCCATTTGTAAGTCTTCAGAAGACCAGAGATGTACTTCGGTTCACGGATTTGTGTTAGAATTTTTCTCTGAAGTATCTTTGAAGTAGTTTCTGATCCTAAAATAAATCAAAAGTACTAAACCAATATTACCAATTTTGAAATTTTAGCTGGTGTCTTAGATCATGTTTCCTCTGAAGAGATTGAATCATCTAATCTGAATTTTTTTTCTCTGCATAGTTGCTTATCCAATAATACAATATACTAAAAAGTTTTTGTATATACTTATATCAATAAAAAATTATTGTTAATAATAATTTTAGACATAATTGTTTTTATGTGTACCAGCAATAATTTATTAAATTTAAAATGTTATACATATATATATATATATTGTTCTTGTAGGCAAAAGTATACCAATACGGCTATACCTATTCTTTTCATAAAAGGTTAAAAGAAATGCATAATTAATTTTTAAATTGTGTTTATAATATAACATTAAAGTTGTACTTGTGAATTATATATTACCTAGTGAATATTTGTAATATGTAGTTATGTAAGTACCACACAAATTCTCATATCACATCTTATTCACATGCATGATTTAGAGAGCTTAAGAAAAGCTAGCTTTGATGTACCAATTATGATTTAATCATATGTTTACTTCTACTAATATACTTTGGTAACTTAGGTTTTCGATTTCAAAAATTATAATTATTTAAAATAAGAGTTATTTATTGAGTATTGATTTACCTTTGTAGATCGTGTTACAAATTTATCCATAGCGAAAAGTGAACTACTGAACACACTTCTTTACTAGTCAGGTGGCCGAAAGATAAATAAGTAAATAACTGATAAATTGATATGATTATTATTTATTATTGACAAATCCTAAACGTAATGTACAAACAAAATACGTCATTATGTTATTTCTTTTTTTATCATGTTATTGATTCCCATTTCCCATGGTGGATAATCTAAAAATAGGCTGTCTATATTTTAATATATACAAAAATCCAATGATAATAATATCATGTTATCTACGGGCATTCCGCAACCCGTATTTCACGGCAGTCGGACTTTATAATTAATAGAATAAAATAATTACTGAGTACTATAATATAGCATAAACGAATTTTTTTGAATGGGTATACGCACGTTTTTCAACGCATACACCCAGTCTCCAGGATTTTCTTAAGTATGCTCTTTTTTTTAAATCGGAAATTAGGTATGCGCCGCATACTTTCACATACCCTCCTCTACATCCCTGCTTATAATACTGATCTATAATATTTTTTAAAATTTACTTTAGATTTCATGGTGATGGCGGGCATATGCCATAATCACAACAGCGACAAGTTATTATGAATTATAAATATCCACATTTTAGTTTCCATTAATTTTGTGTTTAAATTCACTCATTCACACAAATAATAAGTGATTATAATATAATATTTTATTATTTTACTTCAGTCAGCAATAGTCTACAAAACAATTGTTATGTATATTGTCTAAATATACATGCTTAAAAGATAGCTAATAATTGACAATATTTTGTGGGGCCCCACCGGTACAATTATGACCAGAGGCCTGGCTCACGACTCTGGTCAAGCTGAAACCCAAGTGGTTCTTTATTGCTCAAAATATTTTATAACAAACAATTAATATAAGTGTCTGGTATTTGAGATTTAACTTCAAAAATATTGGTTATTTTAGCATATTGCATTTTAGCAGAGACAATAATATCTTTTCTTGAATTAAACTACTAAATATTTTTGAGAATCGGGGTGACTTAATTTTTTCTAATGATTGTCAGTGATGTGTTTGATGGTTGATTAATAAACTAAAATAGTTAATCTTTCAAATGATAAATGTTTTTTTTTCGTATTATTTAAGAACTGCTTCTAACTGCTTCTGCTACTATAATAAAATAATATTTTATACTAGTTATAATAGATACGATTAATTACAAAATTATTCCAATTGTAGAATGTGTGTGTTAGAATTTATATTGCTAGTTAATAAATTAAATTACTAGTATAGATTTTTTCGTAACTTATTTCAAATAAAAATAAACTAATTAACCTGATTTGAATTTGTAATTCATTAAAGTGTAGTAATAATAAAATAGTATTTTTTTAATGTTTTTAGGATAATATTAAGCTCACTAACATTGAAAAGATTGAATATATTCAAGAACAAGTTATAGTAATTACATATAATTCATCCAGACCTGAAGATTTCCACACTAAAAATATAAGTTCGAACAGAATTTTACAAGTATGTGAAAGTGTGTCAAACTGTCAACCAAAACTAGAATATCAAAAATATTCATGTAAGTTTAGTACTTAAGAAACTTTTTTGTCTTATTATCTCTTTGGTTTTAAACTAAATTATTCAGAAGTATTATGGTAGTTCAGACTTTAAGAGGATGTCACACCCCCGTGTGTTCTCCATCTTACAAACATTTTACTTCTTACAAGTACTAAATAGTAAATTTCCGTTCACCAGTTTCAATAGTGTGCTGTTAGTTTTGATATTAGATGTAATTGACATGTCATACAATTTAAAAGTAAGCTATAGGGCCCCACATAGGCTTTTATCAATATTATTATTTTTAAGTAAGTTATGACCTTTTTGAAACTGTACATTTTAAAATGATCAACACACTAGATAATAACCAATAAGCTTACCTTTAAATTGTATGATAAGTCAGTTCATTTTAATATTAAAATTAACAGCATACTATTAAAAACGGCGAACGCATATTTATATGTCTTCTCTTATACATATAATTGATTGTTTCTAATGAAGAGAAAATTAACTTGAAAATTATTTTCAATGTATAAATGTGTTTTTTAAATCTTGTTTATTCTAAGTAAATAGATTATATAAAATAACAAAATCGAACTGATGTCTATAATTTCAAGCAAAATATGTCCTACTAAAAATATTATAAAACATAAAAATTAAATGGAATTATATTTGTGGTTATTGCAGAATTTTCAAGCAATCTTCATTGAAGAATCTATTTTTTGAATTGTGTCATTTGGCTATAGTCTTAAGTGTAAAAAAAAATATGTGGCTTTTGTTGAAACATTAAAAATGTGGATGGTTTTTATTATTAAAACTAGTTTTTGTCTAAAAATTTAAACATTTGGAGTATGTGACTTGAAGTTTCCAAAGTATATCTATTAAACAAAAATAAGTTATATTAAATATCCTGTAAAAATTAACAAAATGTATCTAGGTTATTTCTCTGGATGTCTTAAACATTAATCTAACTTTAATGGTAATTTATAATATATACATTATGTATAAACAATACAATAATTCAACACTAACACTAATTTTGTGAATTTAAAATTTTTCATTTGAATTTTATTATGAGTGCTATTAATTTACAAACAAATCTAATTTTGTACAACTGTTTGTTAAAATTTAAATTATAAGGTTTAAATCATACGTATGATGTTATATTAATGATCTAATCTATTTTTTTTTGTATTTAGTGAATGTGATGGATATAGACAATGATGGTTACAGAGAATTAGTTTCTGTATCAGTTACATATCAATTTAACAATGCACTTGGCCAGTTCTACATGAATGATAAACACTCACTACAGCTTATATCAAAAGTTAATGTTTATCAATTAGAAAGGAAACTTATTGGAGATTTTGAAAATTAAATGTTTATTTGGATTATTTCATTGTAAGAATATAATCTATTAGGTGAAATGTATGTTCCTTAGTTTTCGTATCATAAATAAATGAGTAGGTTCAAACTAATATTTAATCTACTGTTTCATTGCTGTCAAAAAATTTATTTTTCAGGCCTTGTATCTTGGTATAATATTTTATCAAAATAAATACATTTGGTAACTAGGTGCATATAAGTATTGATGGCACTACCAAATAGTTGGTACTATTGACTGTCTATTGTTAGTTTAAAAAAAACAACAAGTACGTGTTCTCTGTAATTTAAGTCAAATACGTGATCTCTCTTAAAATATTGGAACGGGGACGTCTGACATACAAAATTCATATAACTTATTAACTTTGGTAATTTGTATTACCATCAATTTTCTAATTTATTAGATTTAATAGTGATTACTGATTAGTGAACATTAAATATTGCAGTTAGCACGCTTAACCCTTGCCGCACCACAAAAATGTGATGGATTTATTTTGCATAAAATTGTACTTTGTTTTTATTTATATTTTAATAATGTACCTATAGCTGTGAATTCTGACTATTTACATTAATACTATAAAATCACACTCATTTCATCCAAATCAGTTGGATATTTACTCTTTATAGGTTTTAAAATAAAACAAAACAAATAAAATACCTATATATTTTTATAATTTCAATAGTTATTTCACTTTTTTAACGATTATTATCAAAGTTGTAAGGTATTCTGATATTACAATTTATTATAAATAATTAAAAGAGATATGTGCAGTACTAAGTTTAATGCCGTTGATACAATATCTTGTATCTGAATTATATGCCGGGTTGGGACTTAGTAAGGAGGCTGTCATTGTCCACCACATAATTTATACTTACCACAACTATAAATATATTAGCTTAAAAATGCAAATTGATGGGTCTGACTTACGAATAAAAAATTACCAAAAAAATTAAAAACAAATTTTAACCAAGGAAATACCCTTATATGACCTTCCAAGAGGTACAATCATGTATTCGATCTTCAAAACGAGTTGAATAGTATCTACAAAATAAAGGAATTATCACGTCTGAGTTTCGGGTGGCTGGGTCCCTATTTTACAGGCCTAATCTCCACTACTCCTCTCCTAGAGACAAGATAGCGCTGACCCCGTTTGCTATCGCTCGTGTGTGTATACTGTATAAGTTCAAGGAAATGGTATCGTCCCACGCTCTTGTGGTTAGATTTGCGATATCTTGAGTCGTTTTGTTATTAACGTAGTTATTATAATATTTGTTTTTAAACTATTTAATATTTATTATATTATTGTTTAAATTAATTTCGTGCGAGCGTCTCTAATCTCAATCATGATTTACTCTTTTATATTTGTTCGCGCCAAGCTTATCCGTGATTATGAACACCTCTCGGTTCGAGAGATCAAGCGCCGTCCGGTCAGTTGGAACGTACGGCGTCTGGGCAACACTGCTGTGGTTGTCGTTACACTCTCACCATTGTTTTAAAATATACTCAATTCATTTATTGTGTCGAAGAATACACTTTGTGCGTTGCATGCGTTTTTATTAATATTATAATAATATATTGCTATTTGTTGTGTTGTGACTAGAGGTGCGGTCGTTGCACGTTACCCAGGTCTAACTTCATACCTTTTGTTTGTTTTGTTGAGTATTTCGTTTTGACGTATTTTGTCACATTGTGGGTAGGCTGTTGTTTACGCTCGATTAGTTTTGATCTGTTATTTATATATACCATGTAACGTCACAGCATTTTTTGCAGTAATATTATCAATGTCATAAACATACCTGTACCTATAGTACCATTAATAAACATACCTTATCTATATATTGTTATGAATATCGCGCGCTAATGAAGAAATGACCGCAGTGCTATGCAATAAATGTTCCCCGTCCCCCCCGTCCTCGTGCAGTGTTCGTCTTCGACGTGCCGCGGTTGCCCGCCGCCCGTCACCTCCAGCGTTTTTGTCGCGTCCGTCGGTGCACTCGCCGCAGTACAGTTATCAAAATTCCACATTATTGTAAAAGTCCCGCAATACACCTACCCTACGCTTCCCCACCTCAACATCTCAACTATCAACACCGGCCACCGTCCAGCCAGCTCCGTCGGACTGCCGACACTACCTTTTCCAACGCCATTTGAACCAGTCGTGGCTCTTTTTCGTGCGCCCAGCCTCACCGTTAATTCAGCTGTCCAAACCACGTGTCCACACAAGCACATATATACCCGGTGAAGTTCGTTTTTCTTTCTTCAACATCGCTGTGTCCACGCCATGATGTGCTAAACGTCACCACGGGCTCGATGTCTGGCGAAGCAACCTTCAGCCACTGACCGATGCAGATGGGCCATGTCGACCGCGTGTGTGTCGACGGCCATCTGGCCAGCCCATCGCAGCCGTCGGTCAACCGTCAGCAGCCTCGTCGTCCATCAATATAATATTGTAATGTATTAAAATCCACCCCCCCCCCCATATTCCTTTTTATTTGCGTTAGGATAACTTTTTAAGATGTGTCAACTGTTGCGCCTGGCGCAGTTTTTTTTTGTTACCTCCCATCCTTACCGTCCTTAGCGATATGCCGGACGGTAACCCTATGGTTGGCGAAATAAAATTTAATATAAAAATAATATGTGTTCCGCCGAACCTCGTGGGCTGATCCGTGGGTTCGCTCAGTCCAAAGCAAATATATATTCTTTACCTAATTCCCGTCCCACTTTTATTATACTCACATGACTGCCATGTCCCAACATTATTGTGTATGTTATTATGTGTTAAACGCATGTGCCCAAATAATACACTCTTTTGTAACAATTGCCATGAGGCAACAATTATTATCTTTTTCGAAATTGCCAGTTTATTATTATTATTATTATTCACAAATATCTATTATTGCACGTTGTGCTTCATTGTAAAATACAATACCTCTGATTACCCTAACTTTCTTTTGTTATTTAATTTATATTTTTTTTATATTATGTCTTCTTTTCCCCTTTTTTAAATAAATCTTTGGTGTTCATTCACCACTGCGTGTACAAAGCCTATGAGTTCCACCGACTTAGCCTTCGGGCTAACACGCGGTGCGGCTCATAGTTCACGACCGAAGTGTTCCCCTTTGGTCGTGGGTAGCTTTTGGTAGCCTAGCAAACTACCAAATTCTTACAACCAATACCATTATTTTATACGTTTAGTTCACATTTCGGGTCTTAGTAAATTTGTTCGAGTTTTCTGTTTTGTTTTAATTTTTCGATTTAATTATATCATACCTTACAATGGAGTGAGATTGTCTCAAACGAACAAAAAACCGTGCATTGGTTAAACGTACTGCTATAGTCAATCGTATTAGATCTATTCTTGACCTAGGATTGTCCGGTGAATCCCGTCTGAGCTCCCGGCAAAAGTTTTAAATTTCGGTCAATGATCTCGCAGATTTGGGGGGTAAACTCGTGATTGAAAATGATGCATTTTTAGATGCTTTAATCGATTTGGGCGAGGAGACAGAATTCTCAAGCTCATCCGAGGTAGAGGCAAACAACATGGTGGTTTCAACCAAAGGTTTGGCTATTAATTTTTTGTCCTCATCGAATTTACCCGGTAGAGTAATTGAAGAGCCAAGATGTGGTTCAGAGTAGGATGCAGCTAGAAGTTCAACTATACTAGGTCCAGTTAAATCGCCGATGGTAAAAGCGTCGGCAGTTCCGTCTCCACACTCAGTGCGATTGCCAGAAATTCCCCTTCCTCATTTCTCGGGTGACCTGGCAGATTGGCCAGTCTTTCGCGATAGGTTTGTCGCTGTAGTGGACAGTCCTTCTAATATTTCAAACATTGAAAAATTCTACTACCTTCTAAGCTGTCTTGAGCTTGAGGCATCCGAAGTTGTAAAGGGAATACCGGTTTAAAATGACACCTATTCGCTAGCTTGGAAGGCGTTAGTAGAACGGTTCGATAAACCCCGCAAGTTGGCGGCGTTAATCTTGGATGCGATGCTATCAGCTCCAATAGTTCAGCAAGAGTCGGCTTCCTCGTTGAATACATTTTTAAGTATTTTTGATGAAATGTTGGCATTCTTGAATCCCTTGAAAATCCGTTTTTTTGGCGATTTTCTTTTGTTTTCGATTGCCTTTCGATCTTAGCCTGTGACCTCACGTCGTCTGTTTGAAATGCCAAATTCGGAAGAGTACCCGAAGAAACAAGAATTATTCAAATTTGTAAAGAACGGAATCCAAGTGTTGGAGCTGGCAGGAAGAACTTCATCTTCCTCTGGTACCAAAGAGGGACATCTAAAACCGCTGAATTCCAAAAAGGAGTGGGCAAAGGGTCGAATGACATCTAAACCGCTACTGGCAACGCATTCATCCAGTACTCCGTCTTCAAAGTCCATTAAGTGTCCAAATTGTGATGGATCACATCAGCTAAGCAATTGTTCCGGATTCAAATAGCTGTCGGTAGATGATCGATATGTATTAGTATCGAAACACAGACTTTGTATGTTGTGTTTTAGCAATCAACACTGGTCCAACAAGTGCAAGGAAAGTTGTCCCAAATGCAAACGTCGTCACCACTTGCTCCTTCATAGAGATCCTGAAACAAGTCAGAGCTCTGTAGCTCAGAAGCCGCCGGTCGTGATTGTTGGCTCTCAACCTTCTCTGTCTGTGCTACTTGGTAACGGGTCACTTCCCCGTCTCCATTTCACCGTCGAACATTTCCCCGTAAACACTTCCCCGTAAGACATTTTCCCGTCTAATACGTTTTACCGTGCGACATTTCCCCGTCCCCGTAATTTGTAAAATATTGGCACATAAAATATTGTCAATGTATACGGTTCAATAATAGTTATTTCTGATAACGTTGACGGATTTACGGGAGGTGCATTTTCACAACGCCTTAGTCTTTGGACCGTTTTCTTCATTGTGGCTACTGAAGGTAAAGCGCCAGAAATTGCTTGAGATGAGATAGTAGATATAGTATTAGTAACTATTTGATGAGGAGTTGAACTTACTTGACTG